ATCTATCTATCTATCTATCTATCTATCTATCTATCTATCTATCTATCTATAGGATTGTTGGGGGCGATATGCTGACTCTGTAAACCGCTTAGAGAGGGCTGAAAGCCCTATGAAGCGGTATATAAGCCTAACTGCTATTGCTATTGCTATTGCTATGGAGTGCTGGGAGGAAATGCACGCTTTAAAAATTACCCTGTTTAAAAATATTAATAAAACTAGCGCAGAAGAAAGCAAATCAGAGTGAAGTAATCCCCCCCCCCTTTTTTTGAAGGGAGGTCCTTGCACTTCGTTTTAACTGAGGGTCTCTTGAAGCTTTTCAAAATCTCATCCTGATGGTTGATAAGATAAAGACCCCCGTCGTTGACAGCACAGAAGTTTAATTATTGTCAATAATAATTGAGCTCAGTTTCTTCCTGGCGAATTCAGGTAGGGCCTCGTAGTGGCAAAGCTCCGCCCACTTCCCACCTCTCCATCCGAACGCGGCCGCTGCAGGTGCGGGAGGGGCGGGGCCGAAGTGGCTGTCATTCAGCGGGAGCCGGCTGGTTCCCCTCACCCGGGCGGCAGGCAGGAGGTCCTCGCAGAGAGAGGCTCGCATGGGGCGGCGGGCTGGAGAGATACACCTGGCGCGCCAAGGAGCCTCCAACCCTCCCGCGCCCGCTGCCGTCACCGTCCGCCCCACCATCCGCGCTTTGGGTCAGGCACTTTTGAACAGCCGCTGGGCGTTCTCCTCGCCGCGGAACCTCCGCCGGGAGGGAGATCCGTTCATTCCCGTCCTAAAGTCGCTTTAGGGCTGCCTCTCTGCACGGCTCCCCGCTGGCAGATGCAGGTCTTTGCCACCCTGGAAGAGGGCTCCGCTTCCCTTTGCCAGCCAGGAGTCCGCCTCCCTCCGTCCGATTCACCCCGCAGCTTCCCAGCCATCCCTTCTCCGGAGGATGCCTTCCAAGCGCTTAGCCGGGCTGTGGTTTTGGCTTCTCTTGGAAATACAGGTGAAGGTACGTTGGCCTCAGGGAGCAACTGGGCTGAAGCCTTTTGCCCCCCCCGCGTTTTTCTCACCCTGCCCGACTCGGTTCCCTCACCGGGTGCCGCATTAATGACGTCAGCGCGAATGGCTGGGGGGTTTTCTCTGAAACAATGTTAAAAGTTTTTTTTTTCTTTTTTGCTTGTTCGTAAAATGGGACTGCGTTCCCTGAGCCTTTGCAAAATATTGAGGGTGGGGGAAAGTTTGTTGGTCTCTGCCTCTCTTTCAAATTTGCTTGGTTTCTTGCATTCTATTATTATTATTATTATTATTATTATTATTATTATTATTATTATTATTATTATTATTATTAT